GAGTGGTTGGGGGGCTCCCAAGGGGGTCTGGGGGAGTTCCTGGAGGGATTTGGGGGTGGTCTGGGTGGGTTTGGGGGGTCTGGGGGGGCTGCTGGAGGACTTTGGGGGGCTCTGGGTTAGGATTTTTGGGGGGTTCTTGGAGAAGTTTTTGAGCTCTGGGTTAGGATTTAGGGGGGTTCTGGGTTAGGATTTTGTGGGGGCTCCTGGAGGAGTTTGGGGGCTCTGGCTTAGAATTTTGGGGGGGGTTCCTGGAGCAGTTTGGGGGACTCTGGGTTAGGATTTGGGGGTGCTGTGGGTTAGGATTTTGGGGGAGCTCCTGAAGGAGTTTGTGACCTGTGGGTTAAGATTTTGGGGGGGCTCCTGGAGAAGTTTGGGGGCCTCTGCGTTAGGATTTGAGGGGGCTCTGGGTTAGGATTTTGGGGGGATTCCTGCAGGAGTTTGTGATCTCTGGGTTAGAATTTTAAAGGGGCTCCTGGAGGAGTTTGGGGGCCTCTGGATTAAGATTTGGAGGGACTCTGGGTTAGGATTTTGTGGGGGCTCCTGGAAGAGTTTGAGGATCTCTGGGTTAGGATTTGGGGGCAACTCCGGGTTAAGATTTGGGGGTTCCTGGAGCACTTTGTCACCTCCGGGTCAGAATTTTGGGGCGACTCCGGGGCTAAAACCCGAGGGGGCTCCTCAGGGGCTTTGGGGACCCCCCCAGCCCCCTTTGTGGGGCCCCCCCTGACCTGCCAGAGGTCGAGGCCGATGACCCCGAAGCTGTCGTAGGCGTAGAGCAGCGGGTCGGGGCTGTACTCGGGGTTGTCGATCTCGGGGTGCACCCACTTGCCCTTGTAGTCGGGGTTGTCGATCTGCCGCGGCCTCCACTCGCCCTGGGGGGACAAACGGGGGGTCAAACAGGGGTCAGGGGGGTTCCCTGAGCCCCCCAAAACCAGGGTTTGCCCCCCCTCCAAGGGCCCACCTTGTACTCGGGGTTCTGGATGACGGGGGGTTCCCACTCCCCGTCCATCTCCTCGTCCCAATCCTCGGGTTTCTTGGCGTCGGGGTCCGGGATGTGCTCGGGCTTGTCCCAGTCCTGGGGGGG